TGGAACCAAACTACAGAATCTTCAGTCTTTTATTCTCAGTCTACTTGTTAACCTAAAACCCATACACCACTACAGTTAAAGCTCAAAATCTCATTCTCAGTTTAGCTAAACTGTCTATTCTGACACTTCTTTTCTAAGGAGGGGAAAAGAGAAGAGATTATAACTTTTCACAATCAGAAAGCGTAGCTTGTTTTTTCAAGATCTGATTTTTGTTAAAATGTGACAAAGGGCCTGTACCTGAGGACCAGAACTCAGGATCTTATGCATGTGAAGGCTCTCAGACTGCAATTGTGCAGCATCCCAGATTAATGTACCTGACCGTTTTCTCCCCAGGTGTTACCACACCCTCAGGGTACACCTATACTTCAGCTCTTGCTGTGTCCCGGAGGGTAGATTTTATAAGGCACAGTGGTTTGTATGTACTGAGAGCTCTTGATGTACCAGGATTGAAAAATGAACCATTTTATCAGAACATCTCTTTGTAAAGAAATATCTTATTTGTCAGTCTGGATTATCTGATAGAAGGTATCACTCATCAGGAAATGGGACATGTATATAAGCCATTCTTCAATCACAAGATATAACAGGGAGGGGTGCCATCTAGACCGTGCTGATGTCATCCTGCAGTTTGAGCCTTTCCTCTGTGAAATGCAGCATCTAGCAAGTTGGGGAATGTAGTTGTTAGTAATGAGGGTGGATATCAAGTGTCCACCTGGTCTTTCTTCACATAAAATCCTTATGTTAGTGAGAACAAATGCTGGTAAAAAGGAAAGCAAGGTATTGTCTTACAGTCAGTCTGGGCTCCTGTCCCAGCCAGTATGCAGATCTCTAGGTGACTGGCTAGAGAATCTGGCCTGAGCTAGAGCCCTGCAGAATCTCCTCCTTCTCACTCAGTGACTCTAAAGAGAAGTGAGCCAGAGAGCGCTGAGACTCTGGCCACCCGGGTCAACTGACTGCTCCAGCCTCAGAGAACATCCCAGAAGATCTTTGAATCCACAGGAATAATCTAATTCCACCAGAGTAAACCACACTTGGAGCACTTCATAGATAAACTGGACAAGCAACGGACGGAGGGAGGGTGCTGGGAGTGGGACGGGTGAATGCTAAGTAGGAATAAATGGAGCTGCTAGGAACACTTAGTAGGAATAAATGGAGCTGCTGGGGGGTGGGGGGTGGGGTGGTTATTTCCATGCTCTGTGGGCTGTGCTATCAAATAGAAGAGGGTTATTAGCTTTTTCTGAAGAGCTCAAAGGAGTAAGAGCAGAGACTGCCAGTAGACAGCCTCTGGAGGGAGACTGTTCCCTGCTGCTTTGCAGTTGCCAAAAGGGTAGAGGCTCCACTTGTCAGGGCCTTGACACTAGCTGGGGGTGAAATTCTATTAAATGATTCTCAGATTTCACTCATCAATGGCATCATCTGGAGAGCTGTTTAAATAGTCAAGACTGCCCAAGTTCACATCAGGCCTATTGAGTCAGACTCTTCAGGGGAAGACAGAGGTCTCTTCCAGTCCCAAGACTATGATTCTAGATCAGTTGGATAGTTTTTAGACATTTACTATTCCTATTCATCTATTGTTAATACATAACAAAAAAACGAACAGTTTACATTCTTAACTTACTTAAGCAACTATAAGGAACTAACTACAAAAGTACCCAGTACTTTTTGAAAAGAACACATATATGCCACAGACTTATAAATATAATTTTATGAAATAAAAGTAGAAACATTAAAAAATACAAATACAGCACAGGATTAAAACATCATATGGTTTCAGATAAATAAATGATTACTGTGCAACATTACTCCCATTTTAAAACAACAGTAAAGGGATAAATGGGCTTGATTTATTATTGTTATTCAGAGATAACTATGAGCCTTTTTTCTTTCTCAGAAGAAAAAAACATTAAACAAATGTTTCCAATTTTAAATGTATTTGTGGATAGGGAAATATGAATGCACATAAAAGAACGCAGATGGCTTCATAAACGCACAGGAGACTAGCTATCAAGTGTCTCCTACTGGATTACCTGGCAAAACACTGAGCTTTAAAACTGGTGAAAACCCAGTACTTTAAGCAGTCACAGAAAGGAACGATCAAGTTTCAAATACTCAATGGTCATTTCTTAAATAACCTGAATACATGCATTTTAAATTAAAAAGACTTTTTAAATTGAAGAATGTGTCACTGATCTTAAGGAAACTTCCAAGCAGTCTTAGCAGCACTTCCACACTTCTCCAGCAGGTGGCAGACGCCTAGTCTTTCGGCTTCCTTATGTAAACCAGAGCTAGAGTTCATCATGTGTCAAAACTGTGGAGGAGGAAAGTTTATTTAGTTCTTGACATCTCAAATAAAAAATCAGCTGAAATGTTATCACGGCATGGGATACAGAAAAAGCACAGATGTTAGTTAAGGCTCCTCCTGTTAGTTCAGAACCTGTATCTTCCATTATGTGCCATGAGGATAGATAGCTCTTTGTATATTTTGGTATCTCTTATACTACACCATAACTGCTTGGCTTCTTATGCCCCTAGAATGTGTGTTATCATGAGGTGAGGAGGCAATGAGTATAACTTACTTATCATCATTATCGCTGGATCTAGTACCCTGCCTAGCAGATGGAGGCCTTGAGGAGTACTAACAGGTTATACACCAAGCACAAAGTAGTCTATTAATGTCATGCAGGAGACATTCATATTGCTCTAAGAGAAGAGGACAGAGTATTCAGATACAGACATAAGTATTATAGAAGGGGGGCTTCAAAAAGTTCACTGAGAATACACAGTATGAGAAACTATGCATGGATTACTACTTATTTATTTATTATACATTTTTGCTTTATTCCTTTTTTTTCTTTTTCTTTTTCTTTTTTTTTTTTGGAGCGGTCTTTGCTATAGGGTGCATGTGCCTGCCAGAAAGACAGAGAGACAGAGAGACAAAAAACGAGAAATCATCCCTCCGGGGGGATGGCCATGCTGCAATCCCCTCTCCTCTATTTTCCTCCTCTTGGGATTTTGGGCACGCACGCACATGCCTGGCATGAGTTTAAGCCACCGGGTCCGGGACTTGAACCGTGGTCAACTACATGGGAGTCCAGCGACATAGCCATTACGCTAACTGCTGGGCCCTATTTCTTTCTTTCTTTCTTTTTCTTTTTTTTTTTTTGAGAGATATTTTTGCTAAAGGGGCACATGCACTCATCAGAGAGACAGAGACAGAAAAACTGCAAAATCTTCCCCCACAGTGGATGGCCAGACCACAATCCCTTCTCCTCCATTTTCCTTTTGGGATCTTGGACATGCATGCACACATGCCCTGCATGAGGTTTTTAAGCCACCGGGTCAGAGACTTGACTACACAGGATTCCAGTGACATAACCATTACACCATCTGCTGGTCCCATGGATTGTAATTTATTTTGCACCAAAATAATCATGCCTTTTAACTCCATTTTTCAATGAAAAAAAATTTTTTTGAGAGGTTTTTGCTATAGGGCACGTGTGCTCACCAGAAAGACAGAGAGAGAAAAAGACAGAAAGCAAGAAATCACCCCCCAGGAGGGATGGCCACGATGCAATCCCTTGTCCTCCATTCTCCTCTCAGGATCTTGGACACACATGCATACATGCCTAGTGTGAGTTTAAGCCACCAGGTCTGGGACTCAAACCACGGTTGACTATATGGGGGTCCAGTGACATAGCCATTACGCCAACTGCTGATCTCTTCCGTGAACTTTTTGAAATCCTCTAGTACTAATATTAAATCAATTCTAAGGGAGACTCATAGAGACCAAAATGATTTATTTTCCTTCTGCATCACTGAGCTGGCATATACTTAATTAAGACATCTTAAAACTGAAAATAGCATTTTCAGACAGGAATTAATTAAAATACATGTAAATGCATCTTGTGCCACAATCCAAGCTAGCAGACTCCATTTTCCCCTTCACTAATTTCCACTGGAAAAACAATAAATATGAACGGGAGTGAGGGAACTGTTTCTGGAAGAGCATGACAGTGGCTGATTTGTGAACTGTCCACTTTCTTCTTGCTAACCATGTATAGCAATGAGAAAAAAAAATAAGCTTTAAAAGACATGCATGAAACGTATAATGATTAAGATGCTAGGATTCTTCATGAACATAAAACTAAATTTGAACATACAGAAAGATAATATGTTTGTGAACAGGAAGAATAGTTGTAATGAAGGTGTTAAGTCTCCCTAAGGTAATTCATGTAATCCTCCCTCTGTCTAACCAATCTTTCCAAAAAATCTTCTGAAACTAAATAACCTGATCTTACTAAGGTTTGTATGAAAAACAAACACAAGCCAGGCTATGACCTGGTGGTGAAGGCAGCTGGGTCCCACGTGACTGGCCTTGCAGTCTAAGTCCTGCCCGTGGCACCTTAAAAAACACACTAGGTGTGTGTTCATGCCCCAAATCCCCAGAAGATGGAGAAGTGGAGGAAACGCGACTGTAGGGTGATCACATTCCACTGGGTGTGCTTCCCTTGCAAGCTCATGTGCCTCTGGCGAATTTAAAAAGTTCATGGAGAAATAGAATTAAAATATCGGCAAACAGTTTTTCATAATTTTAACTTTCCATAAACTTTTTGAAGGTCCCTTGTGTATACCACAGCCTTAACAATAGTTGCCTCTCTAGGTTTGATAAGCATAAGAGAACTTCCAATTTTATTCTTATACTTCCACATTGTTCTGATATTTACAGGGAATGTTTCTTAATTTGTAATTTAAAATGAAGTAAAAACAACCAACAATCTCTTTCATCAACGTTCTTTCCCTTATTTTTTTTTTAGGAAGTAGAGTGCACATGGAGGTGGAGGAGCGGAAGAGAAATAGAGGGACGCACCCTCAGGAGGAGCACATGATGCCACAATCCCTTCTAGCTCCTCAGGATCTGTGGTGCCTGGCATGTTTTCTGGTTGACCAGGGGATCTGAACCCGAGGGTGGTCATGGACTCCCAGCACAGTGGCCAAGTATGCTACAGACTGTGCCATCGAGGCTGGGCCTCCTCCTTCTGTTTATACACATAAATAAACTAACACGGACACAGGGTTTTAGTCAGTGAAAATGGGGTCAATCATGTTATAATTTTGTCCCATGAACTTTTTAAAAAAATTTGCCAGACGTGTATGTGCTCACAAGACACACACACACACACACACACACACACACGCACGCACAGAGGGGGAAAGGGGGGGGGGAAGGCACTCCGATGTGGCACGGTCACACTGCAATCCCTTCTCCTCCAGCTCCTCTCCAGATTCTGGGCATGCCCACACAGTCCCCAGCATGTTTCCCACGTGGTCAGAGACTCAAACCACACAGCCAGCCATGTGGGATCCAGCAGACCTAACCACCATGCGGCTAGCTCCTATTTATTTTTTAAAGTGCATTTTTTTATTTCTTCCCAGAGACAGACATATGCTGCCAACAAGGTCTTCATGGCATGATTAACCCCGAAGCTCGGCCGGCCAGGATCACAGGCATGTGTGCACATGTCCCCTGGTGTGCAGGGAAAGCCTGGGACCTTCCCATGTACTGTTTCAACATCTCAGAGCTTTGGGTTACTACTGTGTCACTGAGGTTGGTCCTATAACCTATCTTTTTAGCTTAAAAATATGCTATCAGCAAAATACCTTACTTTTTCTAAAAGCCAACACTATATTTTCAATTTTCTGGTATCTATCCAGGTTTACTTAACCAGTCATCTATTAATGGGGCAGTTAGGTTATTTGTACTTACTAAAAAAAACTGCTAGGATTGGCTCCATGGCCTAGTGTTTAGGCTGCTGGGTCCCACATGGCTGACCACAAGGTTTGAATTCTGGCCCTGGTGGCTAGAAAACAAGCGAGGTTGTATTGTGTGCATGCATGCCTGAATCCTGACAGGACGGAGCCATGAAGGAAAAGGGATGGCCTGACCATGCCCCATCAGGAGGTGCCTTTTCTCTCCTTTTCTCTGTCTCTCTCTGGTGAATGTACATGCCCTCAGACAATAATAATAATAATAATAATAATAATAATAATAATGCTATAATAAACATAAAAATATACACACAGTTTTGTTTTTTAAAATACGGATTTCTTTAAGTGAATTACTGCGTTGAAGGGCTCATACATTTTAAGTTTTTGTATATATTGGAAAATTTCTTTGAACTGTACAGCTTCTACATGTATGTCTTGTAAAGAAACTCGTCGACATTCTCATGAATGCTGTGTATTATTAATAAGAGAAACATTTTATCTCAGTGTTCTGTGCATTTGAAATTTTTTGTGAGGTAATTTCCCTTTCTCCCTTATTTTCTTCTCTCCTCCCCTCTTTCATCTTCTCTACCTTTAATAATAATCATACCACACTAATTACTAGTGAGAAAGCGCTCCCTACGGGGAGTGGTCACACCACACCCCCTTTTCCTCTACTTCTCCCTCCCTTTCAGGATTTTGGACACGTCCGCACACGTACCTGTGTGTTTCTCAAGCTGCCAGGTCCAGGATGTGAACTATGTGGTCAGCCATATGGGATCCAGCTCATTTAGCCACCAAGCCATGAGCTGGTCATAAATGATCTTTATGCTAAATTGTTACGTATACATGGTTGTGTTTTAAATTTCAAACTTCTTGGACACCCCCATACTGATTTTAAAAAAGCAAAACAGCAAATTGAGAGGTAATACAAACTCATGTTTATATGAGAAAGTTTGCATTTCAGCTTCCCCCACAATTAAAACTGATGTTCAGTGTTGAAGACAATGGATATATCTATATGCTTGGTTTGATTATTATACATTATACTGTACTCCAGAAAGATGTACAAAGATTATTTGTAAACCAGAAATCATAATTTCAAAACATAATAGTAAAAGCATACTTGTATCACACAAGAAAATTAAAAGGATAGGCCCAGTAGGTGGTGCGGTGGTTAAGGTACTGGACTCACACAGGGCTTACAGTGTTTGAGTCCTGGACCAGGAGGCTTGA